TTGGTGATACCGAGGACGAAACAAATGGCATCAAGGATGTTGGATTTACCACTGCCGTTCAGGCCAGTGATGGAGTTGAACGCTTCGTCCCTGCATTGCACGATTAGTCAAGTCCTTCATTTCCATCGCTGCTTTCGAAACCATGAGCCCGATTTTTGCTTGAACGAGGATTGCGTACCATCCCGAGATCACCGTACGCACGGCGTACGATTTGAAGCCCTGCCAGGAATTAGCGCGCGAGCGGTAAGCGATGCAATGCGACTCACGTCTATGACAATTTCAGTAATCCTCATGGTTCCGGAACGGCGTTCTGCTGCGCAGATTGCATGGGACCGAGGAAAGTGGAGGGGGAGCGCGATTGTTTTGCCGCAGCAGCTGTTTATGCTTTCCCCATTTGGGCCTGGCGCTGTTGCTGAGGTCAGCGCGGGGCCATCACGTGCTGCCATCGAAGTATGAAACTCTCGGCGACTTCAAGATGAAGTCGCCGGCATTGAGAAAATTGGATATGGCAATGTTAAACCTTGGCCTGAGTTAAAATGCGCAGTTTGATGACTACATTACTCCTGTGACTCAACCCTTACGACCAACCAGAACACAATCCACCAGGGTACTTACGCCACGCTGCCAACCACATATTAACTTGCTCCGTATGTAACTTGGGCTTTGACACCACAATATTGAACTAGAACATCTGGAAGGCCTGGACTGATAATAGCTGCCTTTTTGATACATATTAAATGAATTGGTGGTACTTAGTCTCCACCCACGGAGACATTGTCGGACACTTTTCTATCCTTACACACATGAACAAGAGGGCAAATTGTATTTCCAAGACGATATCACAACTTATTTAAGATGAACGATTTCCAGATTGACCAGAGTATTTTCCATGCTCCCAACTCGTCACATTACTAGACGTCTTCCAAACATCAATTTACAATTCAGTCATCAATACTCCCGATTCATAATGCCTCCCAAAGTTGACACGGAAACCCTCTTCAAAAGTGAAGCTTTTGCCGCCCAGTACAAAGTCGCTGAGGCCTTCACCGGCCCTTTCGGTGAATCACTGATTGGGCAGACCAAGCTGGTCGAAGACGCGAAGGCTAGACCAGACCAGCCTCTCTTTGTTCTTGACAATGCCTGTGGCACGGGCATCATCTCCAGTCTTCTGAACGAAAAGCTGGATAGTTCTATAAAAAGGAACTGGAAGTTGACTTGTGGAGATATTTCAACACCGCTACTTGAATACACTGGACGTCGTATGAAAGAAGAAGACTGGCAGAATGCAGAGACTAAGGTCGTGAATGCGCAAGAGACTGGACTTCCAAGTGATTACTTCACTCATGTCTTTTCTGCTTTCGGTGAGTTCTCATTGTGAATCCTCTATACTCAACAGTAGTTGACCATGGTCCCGTCGGTAGTCCTGATGGCAATTCCCGACCCTTTTAAGGCCCTCGATGGTAAGTACTTTCAACCCGATTTTGAAGGCTTAATAGTAACGGCATATTACTAGAAACCGTTCGAATCTTGCAACCCGGAGGAACGATTGCCTTTTCAACTTGGATAGAGCGTGAGTCTTGAACAATACAACCCCTTCTCCCTCCTCCCTCCAAATAGGGTCCAACTAACAACCAAAAAAACAGCCGGCTGGCTTCCTATTGCACGTAAAGCAATTGCAACTATACCTGGAAATCTGCCTTTCCCCAAGACACAGGAATTCCTGTCAATTACAGGTGACGGAGAATGGAGCTCAGTCACTTGGATCGAATCCCAACTCAAAGAGCGTGGACTTGAGGACATCAATGTTCACTCAGAATCGAGGAACTTATCCGTGCCGTCATCTCGCTTTACGGACATCACCATGATGATGTTGATCGTGATAATCAAATCCTTCTGGACGGACAAGCAACGCAAGGAAAATGAAGACAAAGTTCGTCCGGCGGTGGAGAAGTACGTGGTAGACACCTACGGGGAGAATGCAGATATTGAGATGAAGTGGGTGGCTATTATCTCTACTGCACGCAAGCCTCAGTAAACAGACGATTTACGGTTCAATGTATACTTTACAGATGAAAGGTCTACAACATGGATTATATATTGGCAAGGTCATCAAGGCCATTGATTTTCACATGATCGTATTCTGGTTTCCCACATAGCCCATTTAGCCCCCGACAAATCAACGCGCCCTGTTCCCGAACGACAATGTACTATCGGCCACCCCACTGAGCAATATTACAGAGAACCAGTAAACCAAACGCCAGTGCTGATTGATTGAATTCTGTGCGCCGCACCTTGCTCCTATCAACTTCAATTCATGAGGCGTGATGTGTTGCGCCAACTGGGCGAGTGACACCTCGGTTGGGGTCCAACCGGTTGTCCAAGTCTTCATATCGCAGAATGAACTCACGCTGTAATTTCGAAAATGATTAGCTTGACATTTCTCAAGTCTCAGGAAAGAGATCGGTATACTTACACGAATCTTCTTCCAACTGGCAGGATCCCAGAGAAGATAAACTCCGCGCTCGCTCACTCCGCGCTCCACATCGACGGGACCAGGATATGTCTCGTCGCGGGTCAGCCAGCACCTTTCGAGCTTGTGGTACCGCCATTTGCGGCCCATCAGCTCCTCGGCTACCAGCTCTTGCATGATATCCCGAGGCATGCTGTAGAAGATGTAGAAAAGGGTCTCATCGCTGAAGCCAGGGATGCGAGATTGAAGTGGTTGAATATTGGCAACATTGTAGCAAGCCGGCAGAGAGAAATCTTGTTCCAGAGGGACTGCTGACATCGATGACACAAACGGGGTAGCGAACGAAGTGTGCAAAGGTCTAAGACTGTCAAAAAAATATGCATAGTGAAGGGAAAGAAGGCAATGCATACTCAGCTTGGTTTAAATCCAACCCTAATGTCATCAGATCTTGGCCAACAGCGAGACTAGCGACATCAGGACTCTCGCTGTGGATCATGCGCAGCAAGCCAGCCAATCCAAACCTGTCAAGTTCACTCATCTGTGCAAGTGGTGGCTGTTCTGTGCTCTGTGGTGCATTTGAAACTTCTTGACCATCTGCATCCTCGGTCTGCCTTGATTGTAACGCTTGTGGGTCACTGAAGTTCCGTTGCCCCGACATTACGTTGTTGTTTATGTCCTGCTAGAAAGTTAGTATTTCTGTGAAGCAGAAATTGACCGGGAAAGTAGTACTTCTTTCTCTTGTCCAAGAATACCATTAGGTACTTGGCTAGGTGACCGGGAAGCCCCTAGACCTAAAAACAGTATCAGTAAGCCGATCCATTGCTGCAAGTGAGATACTCGAGGAAGCGCCTGCCAGCCTGAAGCAGTACAAAAACCCTACGGAGTTGCAACTATGCATGACTGGGACCATTGAGATTTGGAATTCACATACCAGCGCCATAGTTCCCGAAACCCGCACCCTGCATCAAAGACCCAGTCCGGCCGAGAGGAAGCTCAGAAGCAGCGTTCCGACCCAAAGGAGGGAATTCTTCAATATTGCCCGTCTGAGGCTGGCCACCGGCACCTAGTTGGCTACTGATGCCCTGCCCACCGTTTCTGAAGTCATCCAGCCGATTGGCGAATTGTGAACCTGAAGGGAACATATCGTCGTGAGGGGGTTGTGACTGCTGAGGTGTAGGAAGTCCCTGAGTCTGGGAGGTACGAGAAGGAGGTTGCGATGTCGGAGGATGCTGTTGCCTTTGGACAGGTGTTTGTTGAGCAGCGCGTTGACTTGCGTTGGCCCACATCAGCTGGCCGGGGGTCTGCGACTGCGACTGAGATTGCTGCGGTGTTCCTGATAGCGAAGGAAACTCCCTAAAGCCAACGACCTTGTTAGTTTCCCATTCAGAGACCGGATGATACCACCACAGGCCTCGCCTAACATCACTTACGAAAGATCTAGCGGTGCCGCTGACTGGGACCCCCCTAGACTTTGTGCGAAGCTCCCCATGGTTCCCATTGTACGCTGCTGGTTGCCCTGTAGGCTCGATGTTCCGCTAACGGGTAGATTGAAGCTCCAGTTCGCTGCGCCGCCTAATCACTCACACATTAGCATTTCCTCAGGCAAATATATGAGTGTCCAGAAGATATAGTCAGAGGCAGGCGCACCAAGTTTTCCGTTTGGCAACTGCGCAGAAGCTAATGATGCATTTCGAGCCTGTGTTTGCTGTTGCGAGGGGAATCCGGGCATGCCTCTTAGCGGCTGCGGGCTTGGTCCTGACACAAGCGTGGCAAGTCAGCACGATCTTCAATTGCTTCGCGTCAAGGCACGCTTGCTTGGGTCAACACCGCAGGAATGTGTCGGCGTGTCCCTGCAGCAATGTCTCGGTCGCAAATGAAGGCACTGTCTGCGAGGCTTGCCATTGGAGCACGAAACTCCTTGTTGTTCAGGTCGCCGGCCCGCTCTGACTAGCAAGCACATCCAAGCCCATCGTAGAGGTATATTCCGCGAACAAATGCATTCCGCGGAGGTACAAGATAAGGCATGACAAGGGTTTCAAGGGCATTGAAGGAAAATGACGAACCTGGCCTATTCATAGTCGATGCTCCAACGAGAAGCTAGTTGACGAGACCTTGAAGATCTCTTGGAAATAATCACAGAGGACGATTGGTCGAGTAAAACGCCGGGGTAGAATCTGTGGAGGGGGAACAATCCACAAAGGGCCTCTTGGTCACGCTTGATGCGGCGCTGCTCCGCTGGAGGTCAAGTCGATTGGGCAGTTAAACGCGCGGATACTGGGGAATGCCCAGGTCGGATCTCAAACAACCGCGCACGGTATATTTCGAGATAGACGATCTCTAAGCTCGTCTAAGGAAAGATATATGATCTGAAGAAAAGAAATTCAAAGAGATTCGATGGCTTTCAAGTGAGTTAGTCACATCCGTGGGGGAAGAATGTGGTATTGCCGCGGTGCACGTGACTGGCTTGCCGCCCGAAAAAGGCCATCAGCAACAGTCTCCGATCTCGACTGTCCGGACAGCCGTCACAACCATGCATTCGCAGGTCCCACGAATTGCCAGCCGCCTAGGAGGGATGGCTCGGGCTGAATTACCTCCTCCATACCTTGCGCCGTCGCTCCATCTCCCCGTCACCCTGTCGCCTGTTCAGTCTTCAAGCTTTTCTTCAACAGCCTCCGTTGCCGCCAATCGTCGACGCGACAAGAGCAAGCACCGCGGTGTATCAGCCATCCACCGAACCGGTCCCCGAACTCCATTCGCCGTGTCAAGATGGGAGTTACCAAAGCCTGTGTCGCCGGAGGATATGGTTGCACGGGAACAAACACCCAACCACGGACTCTGGGGCTTCTTCCCTCCCAACCGCGAGGCATTGAGCACTCCGGAATATGATCATTCTTTCGGTTAGTAGCTCAATCTGAATCGGAATCTATCAACGGTGCTGATTATTGGAAATACAGGTCGTCCTTGGTCTATTCAAGAGCTTCGCGAAAGAAGCTGGGAAGACCTCCATGGCCTGTGGCATGTATGTGTGCGGGAGCGCAACCGTATTATGACCTCAGACATGGAGCGAATCCGATTGAAGCCTGGTTACGGTGAATACGAATCCGGTCAACGAGACGCAGCGGTGAGTTTTGCGCTTGCTTTTACGATTACACATTCCCTGCTTGGAGAGCTGGAAACCATTGCCATACATCCTCGTGTTCACACCTTCGATTGGCTATTTTCGACCAACATACATGGCTGTATGACCCTGACTGACAATTTGGTGTCCTAGATTCTAAGCACCATGAAGAACATGAAACATGTCCTGCGTGAACGTTGGTATGCGTACGAGGATGCCAAGCGCATGTTCGAGAGTGGATATCGTCCTGACAACTTCACCGAGAATACTCCCAAGGTTGAGCAGGTTGAGCAGGTTGAGCAGGTTGAGCAGGTTGAGCAGGTCGAACACCCTATGTCTGGAGAACAACCCAAGGTCCAGGCAAACAAAGAGTAGGAGTGTATATAGACTCCAAGACTTCAATTTAGTATGTAACATTAGCTGGAAATTAAATACGCATGTCAATTATTGGAAATGTCTCTATATAAATGAGATCATCTCCCCCTGAACCTCAGGGGCTGTCTAAATTGTCAATGATCCGTCTATTACCCTGTTGTGTCGGATGTCACTAGTGGCGGATCCGCCAAATAGTTCCCCTTTACCGCTTCGTTGCGCGGGGAGCTTAACTTTCTTCTCTTCTTCCTTCTCCTATATCCCTCTACCTGCTATTTACTGTATTTCACCATGGACGAGATCGCCCCAGAGTACGATGTGGTAGTGCTCGGCACTGGTATGTTGCTACAAGTTGCTACTCTTGTTACCCCGCCATTCACCCGAACTGACAGTTTCCTTCAGGCCTCACCGAGTGTGTTTTGTCTGGGTAAGTAATCCAAGCTTGCTGGTTCGTTGAGCTTCACTCATTGTCCTGGATTACAGTGTTCTTAGTGTGAAGGGCAGCAAGGTTCTTCACATCGATCGCAATGACCACTATGGAGGGTAAGTGGCCTCGGGAGGCAAGGCTCACGGATCAAAACAGCTCACAATGGCCACAGCGAGGCAGCTTCCGTCAACATCGAGACGGTATGTGCACCGATTCATCCCCGGTAGATTCTGCTGACCTCTTCTGTAGCTGTTCAAGAAGTACGGCAACGTTCGCCCCGGCGAGGAGCCCTGGAAGAAATACGGAAGGGTCAACGACTGGAACATCGACTTGGTCCCGAAGCTGCTCATGTCAAACGGAGAGCTGACCAACATTTTGGTGTCCACCGACGTCACCCGGTACCTCGAGTTCAAGCAGATCGCTGGCAGCTATGTCCAGCAAGGCAAGGGCCCCAAGGCGACCGTGGCTAAGGTGCCTTCGGATGCCGGTGAAGCTTTGCGCTCGTCTCTGATGGGCATGTTTGAGAAGAGACGCGCCAAGAAGTTCCTTGAGTGGGTTGGTGACTTCAAGGAGGATGACTCTGCCAGTCACCAGGGTACGTACTGGAATCGATGTGGCGAGCTACGAGTAGGTGGCTAATTCGAAGTAGGACTGAACATCCACGCGTGCACCATGAAGGAGGTTTACGATAAGTTCAGTCTCGAGGATAACACCCGCGATTTCATCGGTCACTCCATGGCTTTGTACCCATCGGATGGATATATCAACCAGCCCGGCGCTGCTGTCGAGACCATTAACCGTATCCGCCTGTACGTCAATTCCATGGCGCGTTACGGTAAATCGCCATACATCTACCCTCTTTACGGCCTAGGCGAGCTGCCCCAGGGCTTCGCCCGTCTGTCTGCCATTTATGGTGGTACTTACATGCTGAACACCGACATTGATGAGGTGCTTTACGAGAACGGCAAGGTCTCCGGTATCAAGGCAACCATGAAGGACCGTGATGACCAGTCTGAGGCCATGAAGTTCGAAACCAAGACCAAGAAGATTATCGCCGATCCTTCCTACTTCCCCAACAAGTCCAAGGTTACCGGATACCTCCTCAAGGCTATTTGCATCCTGAACCATCCCATTGATAAGACCGACGGCAGCGACTCGTTGCAGCTGATCATTCCTCAGTCTCAGGTTGGACGCAAGCACGGTGAGTGACATGATATGTTCCCTTATGAGCTCAGCTAATGACTCTAGATATCTACATTGCCATGGTCTCGTCCGCACACAACGTCTGCCCCAAGGGCTACTACATCGCCATCGTCTCTACCATCGCCGAGAACGATGCCAACCACCACATCGAGCTCGAGCCCGGCTTTGACCGCCTGGGCAAGATTGAAGAGACATTCATGGGTCCCCCCATTCCTCTCTACGAGCCTATCGAGAGCGGCGAGGAGTCCAACATTTTCATTTCCAAGTCTTATGATTCCACGTCACACTTCGAGACTACAACTGGTAAGCATATCACTTGAGATTTCATTGATCATTTGCTAATACCCCCCAGATGATGTTCGCGATATGTACCGCCGTGCCACTGGCGAGGAGCTTAAGGTCGAGGGTCTCCGAGAGGATCAGCAACTGGCTGCCGAGTAAGGCACATACTCGCATTCAGATAAATCTAGGGTTTAGATTGACTATATTTCTCTTGGACATGTGCGATGGTCTCTTTTGTTATCTGCTCTTTCAGCAACTATCAAATCAAATTAAGAATTACAAGCGCATCACTACCACCTAGGTTCGCATGCTTTGATAAAGCTTCTATGCAGGATCTATACAAATTGATATCCAACACATCTAAATACAACTACCCCAAATGTATTACCCAACCAACTCAAATCCTCTGCGTCACCTCAGGGTCAGTATTCGCCTTCTCATGCTCCCCAACAACACAAATATCCCCGTTCTCAGCCCTCTGAATCTCAGCCCTAAGCAGCGCCAACCTCTTCCCAACATGGATAACCTCACAAACAAGCCGAACCTCCGACCCCGTCGGCACGGGCCGCAAATAAGTGACCTTCAGATTCCGACTCACACCCCCATAAGCAAACTTCCCAGGTTCAGACACGCCTAGCAGGATAGTCGTGGACAAGACATCGATCAGAGTCGCCGCGCACCCGCCGTGCAGGTTCCCCATCATATTGCTGAGCGCGGGCGTGATGGTGAATAGGAATGAGACTGTGGCTGGGGGGCCGCGGCTTGCTGATTCGAAGCGGAGGTTGCAGTTGCGGGCGTCGACGTCCCAGTGCTGTGAGTTGTTGTTAGCAGTTATATAGATTGGTTTGGATTGATATGCGATGGGACGGTGTGTGGTTCATATGTAGCTTGTATGTTATGTGCTGGTGTAGCTGTAGGTGTAGGTGTGTAGCTGCTGCGCATACCTCTTCATTGCCCAGGCCCATTCGGCCTGTATACTGGAAGACGAGCTCCTCGAACTCGTCCAGTTTCCGCGATGGGGCGGCTATTGCGTGGTCTGACATGATGTGTATAGTGATTAAGAAAGAGCAAATGGGTATCTGGATATCAAGTAAGTAGGGAGAAATGTTGGAGTACCCCACAGGCGCAGCTCGGATGGGTTGGACCTCGGTTGCGGTGATGCCGACCACAAACTCCGTGCTGTAGTGTATAAACATGCTTATCTTTTGAGTCGAGCTCAGTGATTCGATATTAGTTTCATCTTTTGTTCGTTTCTTCGTTTGGTTGTCGTTGTCCACATTGGCATGCTACCTAGCTTGTAGCAACAAAACAACAGCAGTATGTAGACGTGCAAATCTCATTAACTTGACAATAGATTTTGTATTGGATTTAGAGACACGACTGCAGATATTAGCCCTATACACGACATGGTAACTTATAAAGACACAGGGAGAGCTCCTTGCGGCACCTGACTGCGCGTCACGCGTCTCGGCCTGAGGCGAGAAATTCGGCCGCAATTGTTGTCCTCCAACCCTCAACCCAGTACTTCCACTGAACTAGGGAAGACTGCGCTTGCTGGCCCTCGCTTATCAATGTGCCACTGGGTCCCCGCCAATTGCAAATTGTAAGTCAATGCGCTCGGGGTGAGCTCCTTATTCACTGGTCGCAGGTAGATGGCAGACAGTGTTGATTCAATTTCTGACGTCAATTGATACAGCAATCGCAAACAGAACACCGGCGTGATTACCTCGATAAAGTTCTCCGATCCTCCTGCCCTTCTATTACTCGTCGAATAACCAGGCGACGTCCCAAGACTGCAGCCATGAAGGACCCCCGTGCATCGAAGCGGAGAAGAGTCTCCCAGGATGAGGATGGAGATATTGAGATGGGAACTGAAGACGAAGATATCTTCGCCGTCCCATCATCTCCCGATAATGACAGAGCATCTCCCACGCCTAAAAAAGCATCCCGGCGTCGATCTACCCATGGCGAGAACCAGGACCAGGAGGTGCAGACACCCGCACGAGCTGGAACACGGACAAGCGGACGACAGCGCAAAACACCAAAGAGATTTGAAGAAGAAGCCACTACGCCCTCTTCGAGGCGCAAGCCAGCAGCTACACCGAGGAGTGGGCGTCCGACCCGAAGCGCACAAAAGCCGAAACAATCTCCTGTGGTAGACGACGACGAGGAGGAGGACGAGGTTGAAGACGAAGATGGTGATTTTAAGGATGAAGATGAGGATGAAGACGACGCTGAGATGGAAGTCGACGACCCATCTCCGGAATTTGCTCCCCGCTCTATTACTAGAACCAGATCGAGGAGAAGCACTGCGAGACCCAGATGCAACAAAAAGGTGTCCGATGAGCCGAAAGAAAAATCACCATCGCCGGAGTACCAGGACGGTCTGGATGATCTTGTGGCGATGCAACTTCAACAAGACCTTCACGAGAACCAACCGGGAACGCAGGAGGCTGTTGAGGTTTCTGAGCCTTTGCCAGAATATGCGGAGAAATTCCAAACTCTCTGTCAGGCCGGTCTCAGGGACGAAGTGCGCCTGCTTTCGACCATTCTGCTTGAGAAGCTCTCTGGGAAGCGGCAGGTTCCTCTACGAGGACTAGAGCCTGAATACCAGAAAGTACATCAACTAGTTGAGTCAACTGTCTCAGTGGGCGAGGGTAACTCGATGCTTCTTCTTGGATCTAGAGGATGCGGCAAGACGGCGATTGTGGAATCGATCATCTCATCTCTCGCCAAGGAGCACAGAAACGATTTCCACGTTGTCCGTCTCAATGGCTTCTTGCACACGGATGACCGTCTGGCTCTACGAGAGATGTGGCGCCAGCTCGGTCGTGAGACTCACACCGAGGACGATGCGGCCAAGGTCAGCTCTTATGCGGATACGATGGCGACACTGTTGGCTATGCTATCGCACCCAGAAGAACTGTTCGGGGCTTCAGGTGGCGGAGGGGCAACTGCTGCGAAGTCGATCGTGATCCTGTTAGATGAGTTCGATCTATTCGTCACCCACCCGCGACAGACTCTGCTGTACAACCTGTTCGATATCGCCCAGGCGCGTAAAGCACCAATTGCAGTGATTGGGCTTACGACAAAGGTCGACGTAACTGAGATGCTCGAGAAACGTGTCAAGAGTCGTTTCAGTCATCGATATGTCTATATCCCGCTCCCTCGATCCTTCGAGATCTTCTCAGATGCTTGTCTGGGAAGTCTGGATCTCAATGATTGCGAAATAGCGGATATCGCAGATGAACTTGGAACTGAACGTTCTCTGGTAGAGTCAGACAAATGGAAGATGCTACTCGAGGGATGGAAAGAATATCTGAAGGTAGGATCTACATACTTTGACAACACAGCGGTTCACTAACACATACCCTCGTAATAAAGCACATGTGGAACGACAAAGATCTCCAATTCCACCTCAAGCGAATCTACAACCAAACCAAATCCACCAAGGAGTTCTTCACCAGCGCCTTCCTCCCCATCAGCGACCTCCTCCAGAGCGTCTCAACCGCAGACGCACACACTACCCCCCAAATCCCAACTCCCAAAACCTTCGCTTCCCAAACCCTCTCATGCCCCGACCCAGCACCTCTCCCCTTCTCCACATCCATCACATCATCCAGTCCCTCCTCACTGCCCCTGGCTCTATTGGTAGCCGCCACCCGCCTGGCAGCCCTATTCGACCCCGGAAACGACGGGTCCCAGAGCATGTCACCACTTGCCCTCTCCTTCCCAGCCGCATACGCAGAATACGTCCGGCTGTTGACATCCGCGAAGACGAATGCGTCTGTGGGTGGAGCTGCCGCTACGCCTGGCCGTGTCTGGGGTAGAGATGTGGCGAGGGAATCCTGGGAGAAGTTGCTTAGTTGGGGTCTTGTTACTCCCGTTGGTAGTGGTAATGGCACTGCTGATGGGCAGATGTTCCGTGTGGAAATTAGCTTCGAGGAGGTTATTGAGATGGCAGGGTCTGGGGGTGCTTTGGGACAGTGGTGGCGCGAATAGACTTGTCAGCTTTGTGTACTTTGGTTTTGGTTTGGGTATACATATATTGCGAGTAGGATGCATTTGTTGCGGGTGTATATCATTTGAATTCCTGAATTACATGGCTTGTAATGGAAGGAATTCCTTTCTCTAGACGAGATGCTTTCCAGTTGAGTGCCAGTCAGATCGATCCTAATATCTTCTGTCCGGTTTTATCTCCTTACACAAAACAGAGCATAAACCAGTCCAAGTATCCAAACAGTTTACCTAAATACAAAGGTCCCAACCTACCAACCCTCCAAAACCTAAAAGTAACAATGATCTATACAAAATTGCATTCTCAGTCCGATTCATTCTCACCCAAATATCCCCCGTATCAACCACTGACATCGGGCATCAGATATATCACAAACCCCCGGCCGACAACAACCAACCAACCTAACCCGATCCCATCCCTCAATCCCCAATCCTCAATTCCACAAAGAAAACACTCCTGCAGCGCAATATGAAACAATATATAGATATATACCGAAATGCAAATAAACACAGCCACGTAACGCCAGCATACAGTACCCTAACATCCTCCCAGAACTGCCGATTGCCCCTCCAGCCCCGTGTCTGCTTGACCGCATCACATCGCAGATGGGATCTGTCACTTCCTTCTCCCTTGCCATGCATGCTCCCGTGCGTGGAGGTGGAGTGTTGGAGGTGTGGATGGTGTGGAGGGCTACAGGCTAGGGATTGTGAGGGATTTGTCATTTTGCAGGAGTAGCTCGGGGCCGACTGGCTTTTTGCATTATTGTTATACAGTATTCATTATATTAGTGACTAGGATTGTTGTGGTTTAGGTTTGTGGAGATATTAGTGCTGCAGTATACATTCCCCAGTGTATGCATCTCATCTACGGAGAACTGTAGGATGGATTTCCAATTTGGCTAGGAGATATAACATATATAGTATACCCGGGGAGGCGAGGCGTAACAAGACCAAGCTGCTGTACTCTGTGGAAGATTGCCTAATCCGAATCGTACAACAAGTGGCAAAGCTAGCAGAGTTTGGATGTGATCTACATTCAGCATGCAGCACTGTAACTGAAGTATATCGATGTAAGCTAGCAGCTAGCAGCTAGCGGGGTGCAAATTGCAAGTAGCAAGTAGCGATAGGTTAGCAGTGGCAAGCCAACGAACCCATACCTTATTAATAATATACGCAGTGATGATGCCTATACTTTGATTAAAGAGTGGTTAGGTCTGTCGATCAGTTGCTAGGGAGGCAAGGGGATTGGTCCGTCAAACATGCGGCGTATATCGACCTACAGTACATGTGGGCGCATGTGGCTCGCCATGTGTCAAAAGTGACATGTCTAATTCTCCTACTTTTGCCCGGAAATAGAATAGTTTACCTTGGGGCGGGGGTTGTGTGGCAACTTTGTGCATTTGAGCATATTACCCTGTATGCAGAGCGAAGATGCTGGGGTACCATGCGGAAGCTGCAGGATCTTGATGTAGGGCATTTCATGTGGCTATGCTTTATTCTTGTTTGTTTGCTTTTTTTACTCTTGTCCTCCTTCCTCCTTCCTCGTTAACCTTTTCCTCTTTTTTTTGTTTTTTTTCTCTTTTCTTTTTATGTTTTTTTTTGGTGAGGTCCTTGCATCGATGCAAGGTAGGGGTTTGTATATATGTATGACGCCGACAGAATATTTCTCCACTCTACTGCCCACGAAACCTCGAGTCAAGGTCGAAGATCAATAAAACTGCCAAAGTCAAGCCAGGCCTATGACCACAAGTACATAGCTGCGTAATAGTAGAGTCCACAATTCTGCAACATTCCCATGGCCTCAACATGCAATCCAAATGCAGCATGCACGCACCCACTCCCCCGACCTTCCCTATTTAGTCCTAGTCCAAAGCCCACAGGAGCCATTATGAATCTATCCAGCCCAAGCATTCAATTCCGCAGGCCGCAGATCGACACCCTCGCTTCCGCCCACATGTACATGTATGAGAGTATGGAGCATGGAAGTACGGAGTACAGTACTAGCGAGGCCAGGGAGTACCACTAAACTTAAACTACCTTGACCGGACGCATACATAGACATGTGCGTGTGCCTATGTGCAAAATTCCGATCGAGTGCATCTAACCCTGTAACCATGTAACAGGCCGGCCTATTGCAATTTCTCACTTCGATTTCTCGGTCCAGGCCTTGCAACAGGGACCGGATGACTTTTTGACCGAGAGCACAGAGGGTCGAAACTTGCAGGCTCTGTTTCAGGCGGGTTAAATCCAGACCCGGCTGGCACGGCGTGAGAGAATAAAATGAAATAGAAGCGAGACAGAATGGACCGGGTAAGGAGAGAGAGGGAGAGAGGGCTTTGTGCAACGTGCTCGGTGTACGATTGCAGCGCTGTTGATCTTTCGAGGTTGGGATTTGGTGCGGGCCGTTGCGTTATGGGGCCCTGATCTATACGGAGTACAGTGGCTTCCCCTCCGTACAGTAGAGACATGACGATAGATGAAGATCATAGAGACTAAGGCTACAATGTGACATCATATTTACTGTGCAGGGGTTCATTTCGTAGGTTGCACGGAGTACGGGGCCATGAATGGAAGGGATAAGACGGGGTCCAGCTTTCCGAAACGTGCGTAAAGTCGACCCCGCTCTAGGATGCAGGCCATATGCACATGGATGCATTCAATCGGCCGTCAAGATCGCTTCTTTGGGCTTGGTTCATCCGTCTCTGCCCCGCCAAGCCAGGCTAACGGATAAAAGTGCATGGGTGCCTTGAATTGCTCTTGGCTTTTCAATGTTTTTTTTTCCAGGTCTAGCCAGTGACGGTTAAAATCAAAGCCCAGGATTGTGAGATACACATATAAATGGCTGACTGTAGGCCGTGTTGGTGTTGTGACGATTAGTACCGTATCAATCGGACAACTTCCGTCCTCCCCGCTGTCATGCAGTAGTATAGACGATGAAACAGGACCGGTGCGTACAGAACTAGCCGATCTGCTTGTTGACTTGTGAGTAGACATAGTCGTTTGAGGATTTTCAATCCCAAATAGTAGCAGTGGAACTCATTTGTAATGACTTGAGTGTAGCCTTGTATAACCAACCCCTCCCCGACATCGGTGGAGCCTCGGTAGGAAGAGCGAGTTTCTCAGTCTAATTGCGAGGTGCATCTGGTTATCTGTAGGTTATACAGTGCTATCTCCGGGGATGGTCCTGTCTTCCCCGGGCGAAAAGGGTGTTGTGATGACCGTTGGATTTAAGATATAGATGGTTAGTCGTAGAGACATCCAAGATCGCTGACTGGCATCCCACATCCCACATGCACCTAGGCACCTAGGTAAGGTCTTAATAATAACCGAGACACCTACTGGTCAACACACTATAAACAGAGACCTATAGAAGGTTGACCGCTCTTTCTGGAAGCCAAAGATCCACCGTCAAAATTGCAATGTAAGTCAGAGCGGAGTTGATGGAGTTGACCACAATATTCGGGTAGCAGCCGAAGATCATTGTTTTTTTTTTTTCCGAAAATTTGCTGATCTTCCACGTGGACTTGGATCCTTTGTCCTGCCTCTGCCGTGTCTAAACGATGTGGAGATAATCATCCGGTGTTTTGTGTTTCGCACGCGACCGCTTACACTATATTACCCGTTACCACGGGAAGACTGAAACAGTGGCAGGGCTGATATCGTCAAGGTTTCTACATTGCGAAATGCAAATCACCCAAAAATGAACTAATGAACCTGGTAACCACGGTCTGCTCATCCTATAGTGTGGATATAGTTCCGCGCCAAGCCCCATATTCGGCCGGATGAATGGGTCCCTCAAATTCGGATCAGGAACATAAAAATCTTCCGACTCTCCATAGTGATGATGTGCTCCATTACGGAGTATTTCTCCCGAATTCCCCCCCTTAATTAGGGGGATTCACCTCTTTCATCGGGCGAATCAGTCTGATCCATGGGTTATCCGAGACCCGAGCTTCTTAGCGTCTTCTAGAAGGGTTCTGGAAGGCTTCTAGCGCGGAATACTTTGCCACGCCGGACTTCGCCGTCCCTCGCCCAGCCATGGCCAGTTCGATCGGGACTCACAAACTAATCAGCCACAAAGGGTAGCTTCGTTTCATTCTATAAAGAATGTCCATTCAAAGTCTATGACGCGACTCACCCGCTTTCAGCAAGTGGAGTATGTATTGTCATCCATGGATGTAAGATACGGTATATAATACTGTATAGGGGGCGGGCTGACATAACCCCAACATTTACAAAAGAAAGCATCCGTGGATCAAACACTAGATCAAATAATGTATACACCTACATGCAAGCCCCATCCTCGTAAGCGGGATGTCCGAAACCAGCAATCTGACAGCTCTATATCTCACACAAACATAAGGGATGTGCAATGACGCCTGTTTCATAAATTCTGCGGCTGCGGCGACAAGCAATCAATTCAATCTATATTTTAATCCAAATTTAGTCCAATCCAATCCACTGAATACACTAATACAAATGTGTACATTACACTATGAGGCTCTGCCCTGTGCACATCCTGCTACGTGCACCCCCAGGTCCCACTAGTCCAATCACTAGTCCCTCGCTGGGAAAGTTACTTTCCATCAGGCACCCCCTAGGAGCGGAATCCCTGCAAGGCAGATGAAGCTCGGAGCTCCAAGCTAGAGCTGGAGCTGGAGCTGGAAGCTCTAGACTCGCGGTGCGGCTGAGGTTGGTAGCTGCGTAAGCCACATAGGCTATATATGGAAGAGGAAAGGGGTATCAAGGGGACTGAACCCTGCCTTGCTATTGTTCAGTCTACTGTATACACTATAGACTATGTTTCTCGATCTATTTGCGATAGGGGGTGGGCTTAGCGCGTGTTGATCCGGGATCTATGCTTGGGAGTCTCGATGGTTGATTTGCGGCATTCCACGTGGCTGGCTTTTTTCTTTTGCTACAGTATGGGACGAGTTGCATGTACATGTACTCGGCACTTTAGACATACCCTCCCCACATTCAAA